ACATTACAAACAGGAAGTGTGCACAGAGCCCAGACAATAAAATTATCATGGCCAACAGAAACACCATTTCTGGGATAGGGCAGACCTTGAAGGAAAAGGTTGATAGCCACTTTCTGTCGTCACAAATGCACTCTGTTAGTTTTGTAGAAGCTGCACCAGTCATAGCACACAGTCCAGGAGCTCCTGTACCAGTTACAATGGTAGAGGTTGATGAAGAAGAAGAGGAGGAGGTGGAGAACCTTGCAGAGCTCGAAAGGCTTGAAGTAATGCTTGGAGAAGCCTGCAAGAAGGTTGCAGAACAATTGAAAGCAAAGGATGCAAAGGGGAAGGGAAAGCAAGGGTGTGATTACAAAGTAGCAAAACCCACAGATATCAGACCAGCACTAGCAAGTACACACTAAGACACAACTGGGACAAAGGAGTACCTGTACTGCTACATCACACCAATTGAGGACCCAGAAATAGCTGGAAGAGTTTTAGATTGCAGCTTGGACCAGGAAGTGTGTATTACACAGTAGGAGTTGCTTGCATTGTCTCTAGAGCTTTGGAAGAAGACTTGTGAATTAGTAATGTTGAGGCACTGAATGGATGGAAACACTATGTTCTACAGTGGAGAACCGCCTGTTACAGGATCAAACAATAGTGGGCTGTAGCAGTATTGTAACATGTCAGCAGAAGTTAACCATTTGCTTCCACTCTGTATGCTTGAGGCAATAGTAGACAGAAAAATTGAGGTAGATTGTGTGCTGGACCAGGGATCAAGTGTAAACATAGTTTGAGCTGATGTATGGGAAGCATTAAAGATTCTGTTAGATTGCAATATGGCTGTTACACTTGAAACAGCAGACACTGGTCAGGGATCAACTGTAGGACAGATTCCAAGGTTGTGACTCTCCATGGGAATGCTTCACATAGATATCACAGCACAAGTTGTGCAGAAAGCTCTGTTCAGGATCTTGCTAGGTAGACTGTTCTTTGTGACAACAGAATGTGAAACCAAAGATTTCACAAATGGGGAGCAGCACATAATACTTTGGGACCTGAATGATCTGTCAAGGAGGTGGTCTCTGTCCACCAGAGTGAGGGCACTGTGATACAAGCTGGAGACAGATTTTTGAGAAGCATCAAGGAACTGGAAACACTACAATTCCAGGGAGATGCACATATGGCAAGCAGATTAGGAACAAACAAGCAGAAGAGTAATAGTAAGGCAATAATTCTATACAGAGGAAGAGACGAAGGAAATAGAGTAAATGTGAGAAAGGATTACAGTCAGGGATCATGAGTCACAGAATCATGGATGATAGAGGCAGTAGAGTCACAGAAGTCAGTAATTCTTGATACACTGGATGACAAACTCAACACAGTTTTGTGGGCTTACAAGAAAGTTGTGAATAAGGTGTGCCCTGTACCCAGAGTACTTCCAGAGGAGTTCTGCATAGTCAGACAACAGCACCCCAATCCTCTAGCCAGAATGCCTATATTACTGACAATACTACAGCCCTTTGTGCCTACCAGCCGACTTACAGAAGAGCAGATGCAAGTGATTAGAGAATTGCAATCAGGATTCCTATGGCTGGAAGAATGGAAACTTGCAGAAAACCTATTAATGCTACAGTCAGAAGTGTTTGCATGGACGGAAGAGGAGCAAGGAACATTGGACCCTATGTACTTTGATCCTATTCAAATTCTGACTGTAGAGCATGTACCATAGGTAGAGAAAAGTATTCTGATTGTATACAGAATTGAGAAGAGGGTGATTGAGTTGTTGAAGGAGAAGTTGTATAACAGAGCAATAGAACTGTCAAATTCCTCCTATCAATTGTGATGGTTTTGCATCACAAAGAAAGACAGAGTATCCTTGTAATTTATTATTGATTTGTAGAGGTTAAACACAGTTATGATAAAGGACACAGCTGTTCTGCCAAACATGGAACTAATCACAGAAAGCTGTAGAGGTTGTGCATGCTATACACAACTCAATTTGCATATCATGTTTGATCAGAGGAGTTTGGATGAGCAGTCTAGAGATCTGACAATGTTCCAGACACCTCTAGGGATGTTTTGCTTGACAGTATTACTAATGGGTTACACTAACTCAGTACAGATTCTGCATAATGACTTAGTGTTTATTCTTTGCAACAAGATTCTGGATGTTACAAACCCATACACAGACAATGTTCTGGTAATTGGACCCTGCTCAAGATATGAGACAGCAGACAGAACAGAGGAAACGCTTCCTAAGAATGAGGGAATACAGAAGTTTGTATACAAGCATCTGATGGACGTAAACTGGATTTTGCAGAGAGTGAAAGCTGTAGGAGGGACGTTTTCTGGAAAGAAGATAATGCTTTGTAACAAATCTGCAATATTTGTTAGGCATAAGCTGACATATTTGGGGAGAGAGGCTGAAGAATCACAAATACAGAAGGTTAGGGATTGGCTACCTTACAAGAGTGTTACAGAAGTACAGGGATTCCTTGGAACAGTAGGAGTGCTTCATGTTTTTATTCGGAATTATGCAAAGTTAGCACAACCAC